GTGGGGTGTCCAAAAAAATATTATTAAAATTTAAGGTTTAGGGTTGGGGTCCAAAGAAATAGGAGGCCCAAAGAATTTTGGTAAGTGCTAATAGCAACACTCATTTTATATACCTTTTAAATGTACTGAAAAATTCTAAAATGCTTATTTTGCCCTTATTACTTATTTTGTGAAAGCCAAAAGGCATATCTCTCCCCATTATTGGCCACCGCACCTCTACTTGGCACAATTACTATTATCCTTCTAAGATCATGAAAATGGATATGCAGATAAGTTACTCTACATACTCGTCAGGGAGTATTATTCCTTAGTATCCACAATATATCTACAGGGAATCTCACCGCACTTACGTCATGTACCCATGTTAAAGTGTATTTTATTATGTTGTGCTATTTTAGCACTGCTACAGGTAAACGTTGTACTATTGAAGTTGCTCTTAATCATTTTTGCGTTGAAAATTAAATTTTCAAAATTGATTTTGTAATTTTTATTTTTAGCGTAGTTAAGCCTTGAGCACTATTCATAGTGAAAAATCGTCAGAGAAGTCATCCAGTTCAAGATTCGATCAGAAAGACAAACCTATTAGCAAAAATGTAGTAGGTTTAATTTCATTTTTAGACTTGTTTTATTGAACCACCTTGATTTCTGATTGAACCAATCAAAACAATTTTGTTGTTGTTGTTGTTTCATCCTTGGATCAAAATCAGCCGAAAAATGGATTCCGAAAATAGAATTAAGGGGAACTTACTGATAAATCCCATGTACCAAGTTCAAGATCCAGCTAATCCCAAAACAAAACACTTGCACCAATTAGTACAATACATTTTTAATTGTTACCAAAAAATTCTTTTTTTTTTTTTAATTTACAGACACTGTTCACATCTTACTACCATCGGACTTCCGTCAAACGGTTGCCGAAGACTCGTCGGAATGTTCAACATCGCCGGGAAGTCGCCGGAGTCAAATTAATCAAACTGGAAAACATGCTATGAAACTGTAAAATTTTACAGTTTTATACCATGATTCATTCCAGTACCAAAAAAATTTGAAACTGCAAAATTTTACAGTTTTTACCGCCTGTAACTAAAACTCGAAAACTACTTGTTCAGAATCTGTTATTCTCTCCTTCTTCCTCTGTTATTAGTTTTTTTTTTTTTTTTTTTTTGATTTGTGTAAATTTGGTAGATTTGTGTATTTTGATTTTTTAATTTAGATTTATGTTTTGATTTTGATTTTTTCGAAGAGCAGGGTTGCGATTTGGATGAAGACTTCTACAAAAGGATTGCATTATTTAGTGAATGACTTCATATATAATCTAGATCAAGTGAGATATTGCGCCAGTGGTAAGTAATTTCAGAAATGGAGAGAGCATGAGTGGAAAGAACATGATTTGGTAACGGTGGATCTTGACTTGGAACTTGGATGCTGCCAGTTTTATTTTTGCTTTTGTTGTTATCCTCACGTTTGGATAAAGCTGGACTGCTCTGCTGCTGCTGCTGAAAACAGAGGCAGAGGGGAAGGAAGAAAAACGAGAGAAGAAAACGTAAAGAGGGAAGCACAAAGCAGAAAGATCGAGGAAAAGGACTTTTGGGTGTACTCAAAAAGTTATGAGATTAAATGGTGTTCACATGTTCCACATGAGACCTGTGGGTAATTTCCCCTAGAATTAATTCAATGGGCTTTAGGGCTACAATCATCTGCCTCACAGTAGATTGGTAGGTTCAAAAACATCTGGGCTAGGCCTACCACAATATTGTAGTATATTGTTGATGGCCCAACCAAAGATGCCTTTTTGGTCCAAATCAATATTTTCTTCACACAGTTTTGGGTGGTTTGGTAGTGGGCTCCTTGCCAACTCTGCATTTTTCTTTCTCTTATTCTATTTGTTCAAAAATCCATTACACAACCGAACACAACACTGCACTTGTCACTTGTGTTCGATTCTATAATTAATTTTTATATTTTTGATTAAATATAATAATTTTATATGAGTGTAGGACTCACGTTATGTTAGAAAATTATGTCTGATTCTGTGATTGATTTTGTATTCTAAATCAAGCACAACACCTTTATATGAGTGTGGGACTCACGTTATGTTAGAAAATTATGTCTGATTCTGTGATTGATTTTGTATTTTGAATCAAGCACAACACCTTTATATGAGTGTGGGACTCACATTATGTTAGAAAATTATGTTTGATTCTATGATTGATTTTGTATTCTAAATCAAACACAACACCTTTACATGGGTGTAGGACTCACCTCATATAAGATAAGGACGGTGAAAAAATCAAGAACAAAGAGATGTAAGGTGAGAAGAGATATAATTGTTATAGATTATATTTTTGCTTATGTGGCACCATATAAGTGGATGCCCATAAAAACCATATGTCTAGAACGTTTGTTTCTCTAATAGATATAGGAAAAAGATTGGTGCACAAACGAAGACAAGTTGTCTTAGTCCAATATCTAAAAATAACAGTAATATGCAGTGCTTGGGTAATCTTGAGTGTTTGTTTGGAAGGAAAATAGACACTCATTCATTCACCTACAATAATATTGGAGAGAGACATAAAGAAGAAGGAGAGAATTTTTTCAAAAAAGAAACTAGAGTTGGAGATTGCTTTTTCTTTTGATGGATGCTTGCTTGGGTTGCAAAAATGCATGCGGTTCATTTTGGAATCTAAAAGAGCATATTTGAAGAGAGACTCTTGGAAAAATGATTTGAAGAAAGTGAATTGGACATCTTCCAAGTGGTGGTCCTTCCGCAAATTATATCCGTAATCTCTGCATTTTAATTTTTTGTGTTATTTTGATTCTTATCATTTCAAGGAGTTCAATTTTGACATTTAATTTTAGATTTTGTGTCAATTTAATCCAATTAATAATGACCAATTAGAAGTTTTGAAAAAAAAAATCGCTGATTTGGTTGAGATTAACTTGCCAAGTTAAACAAATTTACAATTCTTCCTATACAAGAATAACACATGTATATTTTATGTATGCGTTTTCTATCAAAAAACACTATAAATAGTAATTAATTAGATCAAATTGAGACAAAATCATAAATTCAAGATTAAAATTGAATTAATTGAAATTACAGAGATCAAAACGACACGTAAGTCAAACTATAAGGACTACCGGTGTAATTCTCTCAACTTATATAAACACATAACATATGAATCTCGATTATTTTTAATATTATTATTTTTTTTTCCATTCAGTCATCATTCAATACTTGATTCAAATGTTACAATTTAACTATTAATCATTGTCATATTTTGTGACTTTTAAATCAAGTATAGAATAAGGACTCAATAAAAAAATGCTGGAAATAATCCTCATCCATAACATACATATATAAATGATCAAAAAAAGAAAATAAAAAATAACATACATATATAGATACATATAGAGAGAATCAAACATATAGAGTGGACATTGCTTGGGAACTCTAATGATCTTATCTTTCTTAAGCTTCGTTTGACATTGGTTACGGTAGTCAACTTTTTTGTATTGAGACTTTTTTAGTCTCATTTGGTTTTTATTTTTGAGTTTTTCTGACTTTTGTGAGGGAAAAATTATAATGATTATAATTTGAATGTAATATTTGTTTTATTGACTTATATAATATATTTTGTCTTTTTATACTTTTTTTAATCCCAAAATGAAAACCAAACGAGACTTAAGCTTATGAATTTTATGATGAGTGGTCATTCTCATGCATGTAGTATGTATACACGCCTGCATGTCTTGCCCTTTTCCATCGTCCTTTCCCATTCGAAGCTTTTTCTTTGGTAGAATTATTAGGTTATACTTGGGTTTGCTTATTTGGTAGTGCTTTTTTAGTTTATTTTTGTCTTCAACGAATTTTTTTTAATTTTTTATAAAAAGTTTTAATCTTCAAAATTCAGTTTGACGAGATGAACAAAAAAAATTTGAAAAAAGACAAAAATAAGCAAAAAATAGTGGCTTTTTAAGTTTATTTTGGCTTTTCCAAATTTTTTTAAAAATTTTTCAAAAAAATTTCACTTTTTAGATTCGTCTACATAACACGGATCGGAAAAGTAAAAAATTTTAACATAATTTTGAAAAAAAGTGACTAAAAACAAAAATATAAAATAAAAAAGGACATTTTTGTGATATCCCAAACAAAAAAAATTGGCAGAGTAGCTTTTTTAATCTGCAAATTAAAACTCCTACTAAAATGTGAAATTTTTTAAAGTCTCATGAGCCTGATAAGATAAAAAAAAAAAAAAAATGACATAAAGACGCATTTTCTAGATTTATTTTTAAGATTCAGGAGTAAAAGAAATGATTGGGTGATAATTATAAAAGACAAGAGAGATAGAGTTTGCGTAAATATTTTAATAGCATCATTCACTACAAGAAATTTCACTTTTGACTACTAAAATTTTAGTCGCCAAAAGCCTTGTTTTTAGTCGCCAATCACATTTGCCGACTAATATATTTGGTCACCCATTTGCTCGCCTATAGTTTGTCGGGGGAACAATCGGCGACTAAAACTTTTTTGGTAGCCAAAAGTCGCCTATTGGCGACTAAAACCTTAGTTGCCATATATTTTTTTAGTCGCCATATATTTTTTTTAAAAATTAAATAAATAAATATATTTACTTTTAGCGACTAAATTATTTAGTAGCCAATTGAGCATGTATGTTTGGCGACTAATTATTTGGTAGCCAAAAATTTTACATTTTGAGAATTGGCAACTAAAATTTTAGTAGCCAAAAGTTTCTTTTTTACAATTGGTGACTAAAATTTTAGTAGCCAAAAGCCAACCCGTGACATTTGTTTAGTCACCAAAAGGTCTCATTTAGTTTTTATAATTTATTCTGTAATATTTTTTGCGCCATCTATAACCTATGCATATACAAAATTATTCATCTATTCATTCGTTCATTTAATTTTTAACCATTCAATAAAAATATTTCTTCACAACTTGTACCATCCAATTTTCAACCATAACTATTAACCGTACATATCAAACAAAATAAAAATCCATAAATATAGTATAATCCAACAAATACATATACTATCAAAACCAACAAACTCGTGATCGTAACTTGTATTCCCAACACAAATCTCTCTTTTACTTTGGATAGTTGTGCATTCACAGCATAAATTGGTTCTTCAAGTTACTAGAATTAAACATAGGCAAATTTCATTTTTATCTATCAAGGAATCTTTTCTCCAGAACGGTTCCATCTCAAGGCAGAAATTTCCTACAACAACAATACTCAACAATGTTATGCTTTGTTTGGTAGGAGGGAAACGAAAAGAGAAAAAAATAATTGAGAAAGTTATTAAATATTATTCCCACGTGTCATTGAACACAAATTTGGAGGGAATTCATTTTAATTTAGGTACAAACAATACTTAAGGAACAACAAAATAAATATATTTTCCCCTAAACTCTTATCTATTTTGTTCTCAATCAAATTGGAATATCTCATGCAAAGAAGATTGAAAAAAACATAAACAAGTGGACAACGTTTCAAATATTATTGCATCAAAAATCTAAAAATACAAAACTGATCTATACCATCATTATCTGTCTCATTATGGGCTTGAGGTGATATGCATCAATAAAAAGTGTCATTCCTATGCATCAATTAGCAAGTGTAAACAATTGGAGCTAATTAAAAAGTGTGCTAATTAGCTCCCTCCAATAGCATAGTCTCCACATTGACTGGAAAGGTTGGCATCATTTCCAGAACACAAGGAGGTCAACATAACTAGATCAAAAATAGTGATGACAATAATGGCTAATGAACAACATAGGACATCATCCAATAAACAAAATCATGAATCTCACATTCCCAATACAAATATGATGAGAAACACTTCAAAGATAGTACCTCTGGATGCCACTGGAAGGCAGTAACAGGATAATTGTGTGCATGGACTGTGGAGACATAGACCTGATACAAATAAATGTTCTAAATTTACAATGTTCAAATATATAGGGAGAAGAAAAAAAACATTGGAGTGTAAAAAACATTGGAGGGTAAAACTTACTTATTGATAAAAATAAACAATCAATTGATAATTCATTTAGAGAAAATTTTAACTGAAATATCACATAGATTGATAATTGATAAAATACAACAAATTGCCCGTAGTCAATACCTTATTATCTGAATCTGCACTAGTTATTAAGACCTTGAAGAAACTACATAGTTCCTTGTACTCTCCAAACCTTTTTGGTGATACACCATACTGTTGCATAAAGGAATTCAACTCACTAAGGTCAGCTACTATGTACTTTGCAAATCTAAGTACGCCTGCTAAGATTAAGCAGACACATATGGGTCTAAAAAAATAGAACAGAAACAATACGAAGAACTAGTTGTGTCTCTATTGTATCTGCATAATTCATAATCTATATGCATTGAAGTCTTAATAAATTAGGAATTGGTGCTAGAGTGGAATGACAAGGATAATGGCAACAAATTAGGCATAAAATTCATTTTTTACACACACCATTTTCTACTGCATTTTTTACCTCCTACTCGCAATAGGAGTGGGGCTCAACCCATGTGATTGTGTATTCTCTACTCCCATTGTGAGTAGGCAATTAAAAATGAGGTAGAAAATGGTCTCTGTCGCAAGACAAAAAACTTCCAAGTATGGACCATTATGGAGTCTTGATAAGTCAACATCCACTAAGGTACATAATAGTGACTACTGCCCAATTTTTTATTCATAAGCTGACAAAAGTTGAATTATTTTTTGCATTGTTATATTAACTTCTATATACAGATGTAAAGCAACCCAAGAATGAAGTGAATTTCCAATATCAGTACCTTTTGGAATGAGCCATGGGTTTGCAGCCCAATATGTGAACACAAAGCCCTTTTAGAACTCTTAACACAAAGAAGCTACAAACCCAAGAATTGATTTTTAAGAAACGCCTAAACCAAAAAACTTCATCCATACTAGTCCACTTTTTAACTAATACCTTTGTCAGTCTATTAAATTGCAAAACAACAATTCTGATATGTTTTAATCAACACCACCATAGTTTGAGGCATTTTGTCAAATACCTGGTAGGCATGAATATCAGATATGCTTTATTCCTTCTTTTCTATACATAGATAGGGATAAACACCAAAGAAAAGAACTTACAAACTTAAAATCACACTCAACTCAGCAACCCATGGTCCCAAGTACTTGGGTTCAGCCATGTGTTAAAATCATTTTTAGTCTATGCTGTTGTGGAAAGTTGTTGGTGAGATGGCATGGTAGCCTTCTGGGAAGATGGTAGACACTAGACGCTAAGGAACAAAATTTTCAGTTCCCATTCAAACAGCAAAAAAATATTTTCGTTTCCTGAGAGACAAAAACAAAGCACTAGTAGAATAGTGAAATTCTAGTATTTCCATAAAAAATTCAAATCCCATTGGAACATATTGCAAGGCATCAATACATAGCGCAATAGAACAAATTTAGAAATTTTCATAAATTATTTTGCAAATTTTTTGACAAAAATTCATAACAATGTATTTTACTATATTAATAAGTATTGTTAGTAATATAGCGTTGCTAATATTATTATTGTCTAAGTGGAATTTTGGCTCTTATTTTGCAAATTATTTTGCTAATAGGTTGGGGGTTTAACTTCCCCTAAGAAGATTCCAAATAAATAGATGAGAGTTGAGGAAATTTATAATTAATCTCATAGAGACTTTGGAAAAGAAGATTCCAAATAAATATATTAACATCATCAAAGATAATAAAAATTAGAAATCAACAACCAACGTAGGCAAGAAAGTGAATGACAAGAAGAAAAAATTTATGAACTATGCGTCAATTACATAGATGGCTCCCAACAAGATGGAACAGGGGATCAGGAACAGAGTTATCAGCTTCAAAGTAGCTGAAAATGAGTTGGCAACAAAAACAACAATGATTCATCCTTAACAAACATACATATGATTCTCAAAATACTTAAATCTTAAGAAAATGAACAAAGTGGATTATGTCCCTACAGCTACACTAGAATGTACGGAAAACATTACTATCCAGTGCATATACCTAAAATAGGATAAAATAAGGGTTAAAACATAGCACCTCTTGAGTTACTTATTTCTCATGGTGACCCTCTCAGCTGAGGCTAGTTGTGGCACTCCACAGAGAACAACGGCCCTGTTTGGTAGAACTTATTGTGGGGATATATTTTTGAGTACCAATGCATGGTAAGGTGACGCCGACGTGTCAGCCGAGGTGCCATGTGTCCAGGCTATGACGCAGAGGTTATCTCAGTTAAGCTGAGGTTATCTCCGAAGATATCGGAATCCGAGATAAGCGGATAAGGCACAAAAGTCCTAGAAAATAGGAAGACTACAGTTGGGAAAGGACAAGACTCTTAGGGAGTTTATCCCAATCTTACTAGGAGTCCAAGATTTATAGTAATCCTAAGTCCATTAGAGCTAGGCTCCTGTTGGGACAAGGATTGAGTTAGCTATAAAAGAGAGGCACGCCCGTGGGTCTAAGGTACGCAACTTATATTCTGAACAGTGAGATTTGCTCTATTAATTATCTTTGAGAGATATACTGACTTGATCGTCGGAGTGCCCCCGGGTGGACGAACCACCGCTAGAATCTTATCTTTCTGTTACAGGTTAGCCAGGTGTCATCTATTCTGCCAGTGTTCTCCAGCTGAATACTGAGTTGGGCAGTGTGATCGGAAAATCACTCACACAATAACTAGAGAAAAAAAATTGCGTAATTAAATGTTACATATGGTATGTAAATTAGTATTATAGATTTCTCCATTATATATAGGCATTCTCAATGCACTCTCAATCATACGTATTTTTAAAATTAATGTTGACCTCATTTAGAATTGACAAATGCTTATATATCATCAGATAGGTCAGTAAAAATTTATAAAGCATGATATTGACAATTTTAAGAAAAACTGGTTGGAAAAGGAAAATGTTGTCATTTGCTGGTAGAGTAACTCTCATAAAATTTGTTTTGGCCTCGTTGCTTACATACTACATGTCTCTGTTTAGATTACCTAAGTGTGTTGCTAAAGAGATTGACAGGCTACAAGCAGCATTCTTGTGAGGGAATTCTGAGTCTAAAAGGAAAGTACATCTGGTTATATAGAGAGAGATAACAATGAACAAGAAGCAAGGGGGAGTTGAGATTAGAGATGTCAGGTTAGCAAATCATTGTATGCTGATGAAATGGTTGTGGAGATTTGCTTTGGAGGATGATGCATTGTGGAAGCAAGTTATTTGCAACAAGTATCAAAATGAGGGAGACGACTGCCATCAATTGAAGTATCTGTCAAAGTTTCCAATCCAAGGTTGCATAGTTTGTATGTTGAGAATGTGGAAATTAAGATTGGAAATGGTAACAGGGTCCTGTTCTGGATTGACAATTGGAGGGGGATTCATGTCTTAAGTTGAAGTTCCCTATATTGCATCAACTATGCATAGAAAATGATATCTCATTGAATGGCCAGCTGTCAAGACTCAAGACTCAGAAGCCATACCGGGTGGAGTTCCAATTTCAGAAGGCCCTTACATGCTTGGGAAGAAGATGAACTCGAAAGACTCCATATTTTGTTAGGTGAACAGCCATGAGAATATGTATTTTTTTAATTACATATAAAGTTCTATACAAACTCAAATCTATTTTAAATTATATTAATTTTACTTAATTTTATATGGACACTCTATACCCAATATCAATTTGAATTATACTATTTTTTTCTTTTTTGATTTAGATGTTATTATGTGATTCTTTCTTGATTATGAATTTCTTTTATATAGTTGATATGTTAATTTGATAAAGAGTGTTTATTTTACAATCTTATAATTTAATATATATATATATATATATATCATATAAAATTATTATATGATAATTCAACTACAACATATTTATATTTAATTTTTTTTAATAAATTTTATATAATTTCTATTTCTACATTTTTTTATTTTTCAAATGAATAAAAGAGAAAATTAAATAGTTAGAATTACTTTTAATTATATGTTTTTAATTCTTCTTCTAATTTAACTATTATTTTTAATATCTAAATGAATATTTATTTTATTATTTTATAATTTAATATATATCATACAAAATTATTATATAATAATTAAACTTTTATAATACAATAGAACTAAAATTATCACAATACACAAATAATTTAACTAAAATTCATATATATAAGTATTGAAGTAATAATTTTATATAATGATAGCGCTAATATTATTAAAATAAATAATTAAAAGCATAATTTAATTTTAATTTTATGTACTTTGGGTAATTTGTACTTAATATACATTTGAATTCCATTAGCAGAATTTAGTTATTCACTAGTTTTATGATAATATTTAATAGGAATTAAACCTTATTGAATACAATTACGGTTTGCGCATATATCAATTAAGGCTATGACTTCTATTTTATAATCATTGATAATTAATTTAACTTTTGAATGCCATTTTTTGATATTAATTCTGTTAATGATATTTTATTCTTTTATAACACACATTGTATCATCAAATATTTTTTGAAAAAAAATGCATTGCACGGGTCAACAGTTAGTTTTCTTCTGTAGTTATAACGTGCATATGGTACAAATCCTTGGAAAATAAATTGACAAATGTCAAATAATAAATAGTGTGCAGTATTATATTAAATAATAACAATTTACGAAAATTATTGTGTATATTTAAGGCACCTATTGATGTTTCTTGATTAATTTTTATATAAAAATTTAGAATTTATAGTATTTCTGATAATGCACAATCATGAGCTCTGCCTAAAAATATATGCAAAAATAATTTGGCTAGAATAAAATATTTACTGTTATTATGTTGTGTCACATGATTAATCACTGATAACCAAGTAATAATTTTTATATTATAGAATTTTCTGTTGTCTTCATTTATTTTTTTCATAAAAAAAAAATTAAGGATTTGATTTCATGTTGAGAATACATATTTTTTTTTATACCTTTGAAAAAAATTGCTTTTATGAGCCTTCTACATAGGATTACACATACAGTGACAAAAAATTTTATCAATCATTAGCAAATTTATTTGTATTTAGGTTTCAATTGTTAAAATTTTCTACACATGTAGTATTAAGACCCAAAATTAAATTTTCATTTTAAAAATAATTTTTCGTACATTGCATAGGTCACCTACTAATTTTATATAGGGTAGTTATTCATCCCCTAAAAATAGAGCTCTAAAGATAACTCTATACACTTGACAATGAAAAAAACAAAAAAAAGACCAAAACATTACATCCCCACCACCCCTACATTAAAACTCTTACTTAGAACTCTAAAATATTTTTGTTTTATATATAATATAGATGGATAGATAAATACCTGCTGCCCCAATAATGGGGGAACCTCCACCAACTCCAGGGAAATCTCTAGCACCTCCAACATAATTATCCATATCTGATGAAATATCAAATAGTAACATATAGCAACTATACAATTTCTAACATGAAATAATGTATTAAGGATATTTGCTAAACAATATAAATGTTAAACCATACACCTTTTAGATAATAACAGAATATATTAAAATTTTAAAATTTATTTTGTTACATGGATCTTTAGGGTTTTTTTTTATTTGGATGGGGAAACTATATGTACGAGAAAGAAATAAACCTTCTCGTATAATCCTGTTGATCAAGTCTGCGCTTCTCCGTACGACATCGCTTTATTCCCTGAAAACACAAACGTGAGCTAGCCAGCGGGTGTATGCCGAATACCTCTCCGATGCCTAAGTCAGCAAACTTCAGGACATGGAAGGATGAGCTTCCTGGATGCTTACAGGGGGTACCATCAGATAGCCATGTACCCCCCAGACGAAGAGAAGACCGCGTTCATCACCTCAAAAGGGCTGTACTGTTACAGAGTAATGCCTTTCGGGTTGAAAAATGCAGGAGCAACTTACCAAAGATTGGTAACCAAAATGTTCAAACAACTGATTGGCCGAACAGTAGAAGTCTACATCGACGACATGGTCGTTAAGACCAAGGAGCCTAAGGGTCATCTCGCTGATCTAAAAGCAATCTTTCAAATCCTTAAAACATATCGGCTCCGATTCAATGCATCGAAATGTGCATTTGGAGTTGGATCTGGTAAGTTTTTAGGATACCTGGTAACCAGAAAGGGCATCGAGGCCAGCCCAGATCAGATCAAGGCCATCCTAGAGTTGAAGAGCCCGACGTCGGCAAAACAGGTGTAGATGCTAACTGGAAGGGCCGCAGCCCTGAATAGATTCATCAGCAGAAGCTCAGATAAGTGCAGACCTTTTTTCAACTTGGTGAAGAAAGCCACAGACTTCCTGTGGACCGAAGAACGCGAAACCGCTTTGGCCGACCTGAAGAAATACTTGACCACAACTTCAGTTCTTTCAAATCCAGAACGTGGGGAGGAGTTGTTTCTGTACTTAGCCATTTCAGAACATGCGATAAGTGCAGTACTAATCCGAGAAGAAAAAGGGGAGCAAAGGGCTGTTTACTATGTAAGCAAAACCCTA